GTATTTTAGGAATTTTTTNCACCAATAGACAGAAAAAAAACATTATCAGCATTGATGACACCTTGTTTGATGCCAGGCCAAATACAAAAAAAAATTACCATAAAGCTCTCAAACTCTCATTTTATTATTTTATGTCTTTTGTTAGAATGGCATATAAGAATTTGCACTTCTTGTAGCCTGTGCCAGGCTCTTGGATAGTACGGATGCTGCGAGAAATAAAACAAGCCAAGCAAAAATAAGATGCGCGTGCACACCATCTTGGAGCCCAGAACATGCTACAGTTTTTGTTTTTGGCTTAATATTGTTATGATTGCCTTTAAGCTACCTTAAAATAAATGTAAAGTTTATGTAAGCTTGGCTGAACCAAGAAAAAGGGAGAGATATCTCAAACCCAGTGCTTTTGACGGTCATGCTGCTGAAAAGGCTGGACCAATAGCCCACGGTCGATATACATCATTAAAATTCTAACATGACTCCGAGGCCTTCTGGTCATTTTTCTATATTTGGTTTGGTTTCTTTGTGCTCAAGTCTCCTCTGAGAATAGTCTGTGTAGCATGGCGGTTTTGGTTGGGCGCGCTAAGTAATATAGGCGGGCGGTCAGGCGGGAGAGGGCTGAGAAATCGCGAGGAGATTGGAGCGGGAACAACGGAGACAATGGAGTCGTGAAAAAATTTGCCGCCTCGGAGTCATGTTAGAATTTTAATATATCGAACATGGGCTATTCCAAAAATTTAAGACCCTGTTTACATGGAGTGGGGGACTCCGGTCTAGTGGGGTAGGTTTCTTTTTTTTGTGTCCCCCAGAGCGTGAAAACAAAAGAAACCAACCCCACTAGACCGGGGTCCCCCACTCCATGTAAACAGGTCCTAAGTCGTGTCACTCAATTATCAAGCTCGGCTCTAACATCAAAATAAAGTGATTTTTCACAAACTGAGACAAAACATCAAAACACTGAACATTAATTATTTTTACTTGAAAGGATTAACTTTAAAATATTGGTGAACATAACAGCAGACACTAACAAATGATAAACCGTAGTCGAAACGCAAGGTTGAATTTTGTCAATTTTAATATTTTGTCATCGCGTGATCCCCTGATTGGGCGATAGGCAGTAAAATTACGTCTCACCAGGGCAATCAAGAGTGAAAAGTGCTAAACGAAGCGAATTGTTGAATATTCGTCTTGCTGAACACCGATTCGATTGAGTTTGTTATAGTTCATCTTTCATCGACAGCATTTTTCCTTTCGGTTGAGGAGGACCTTATACAAAACATACAAGCGGTAAGTATAAAAATTTCTATAAATTAATTAATCATTACGAGCCGTTGCCCGCGTCGTAGACGGACTATACAAATGGTTTTGACGAGCGCGTGCCTGCATCGCGCCCGCTTTAAACCTTCTGTATAGAGCGTCTGCGAATTAGTGCACAATATCGTGTTCGAATCTTAGTCCGATTTGAATTAAGTGTTGAAAAGCCAAACACAACTAATAGCTCGTGACAAGAGAGATTGAGCTCGTGGTTTGAAAGGTGACCTTAGAGTCAGTTTGAACAACAGAGGTTTTTCTTGCTCTCTTTTTGTGTAGTTTATGCAGTGCATGGAGTATTCTACATTTTGACTGAGCAAACTTTTTTTGCCGCTTTGAGTCTCACATTTAGAGGTAATGAAGCTGGTCCGTTCCATGCATATTGAGTAACTAGTTCCTGTGGTTTATGTTTCGACAAATGTTTTTTTTTTCTTTCACAGGATTTAATTAATCACAGCTGCAGTTTACCTTTAAATCATTTTCTCTTACCTTTGTTTAAGCCTTAAGCTTTTTTATTGCGGCTTAATAATAACCTCAGTTTCCTTGGTTTTCGGCTCCGAAATGCCTGGACCTGAATAGCTAGCTGCGTGTGTAGTCTTTTTTGGCTGTGAACATCTTGATTTCCTGATTTGTTTTGACGCTAGAACTGTCGGCTAGATTGCAGAATACGCGGCAGAGCATCTGCAGCGATTGGAAGACACTGGAAAACCAGTCGGCAAATATACAATCAAATTCCGGCCTTGAAGGAATTCTCTCAAAGCATTTTTTTTGTTTAGAAGAAGGCTTTAAAGTCCGAACTGCTGTTAAATTGTTTACTGTAAACGATCCTAATGCCAACTCCCTTCTGTGAATTTTGACATGTCACTGCGCCCAACCGTCACGCACATGTAAAGTTAGGCCAATCGTGAGGCGCATAAGAAACCGGCGAGAAACCCGCCTATCAGAAATGCTCACATATGTCCTTGCGACTCTGCAGGATATTAGAACGAGTTTTTGTGCAGTAATTCGCAGACGGACTATGCAAACGGTTTTGACGAGTGCGTGGGCCGCCTGCAACGCAGGATTTACGCGCATGCACCTAATCTTCAGCCCAGAATAGCATCATTCATGCAGGATGTTTGAACCAACAGAAATGTTTGTTATCCGAAACAATTCGGCTTTGGCCGTATAAGTGAGGCTGATTGTGATCTTATATCACTAGGTTATGGTGAGGACGGCTTCTTAAATTGGTTTTGTCTAGACTGCGAACAATTTCTCAGTCCTATTTCCGTGAAGGCTTCGAACCCCGGGGGGCTACTCAACATGTTTTCAAGGGAAGTCCGACCTCTTTTGAAGAAATAGGTGCCTTAATATTTACCATACATTCATACAAGTATCGTATTTGAAAAAATTACAAGGTAGGAGATTACGCAAGTTTTGTTGAGCTTTTAGATGCTCTCCGCTTTATTCTAAATAGATGTGCATGTATAAGGCATAATATACTTCGAATTCCTGTTTTAAGAAACAGTGTAAGTATGAAAAACTTTTTTTTAAAGAGTAAATCACATGCTTAAACATAATATACGAACCTATGTTTCTTATATTTGAGCAAGATCATTCTCTCTTGATTTGAGGGATAGTCGTTCCATATGATTGCTCCCTTAAAACCTACAGAATATTTGCCACAATTTGTTCATCTATATAAGTAAGTCAAAATGCATTTCCCCTTATCCTTTTATGTCCCATTTTTGACATGGATGATAACCCTTTCCGTATACTTTCCATTCATTCATAAATGGCACGCCTTTCACATTCCTAGTTTAGACATTTTCTCTTGGTTTAGAACGCTGCATCCCTTAGTTAACTGCTGTAAACGCTCTGTATTTTTAAATATGAATGAATCACTAAACCATGAATTTTCTTGACTTTTTCACAGCAACAAAATGCGTCTGTAAACCAATTTAGGTATCCTTTTTTACAGGACGCAATGACAGATTTTCCTATGCTTTTATATATCTTAACTAGTGAAATCCCCACCCTTTTATATGCCTAACGCCTGACTAAGGTGCACCTTTCGGGCGGAGACTCCTAGTGTCGAACATTAAAGAGAATAACCCCCCCCCCCCCCCCCCCCCCGGCGTTTGGAACGCACACAAGCGTAGCTTGTTGTGACCCCCCCCCCCGCAAACAACAATATTTTTTTTACAAAAGCCCTTTTTTTCTGACATTTAATACATAACAGCCTAAACACAATTAATAGATTTCAGCTGAAAATAACCAAATTGTGTTTGCTTTTTTACAGGACCCAAATGCCCAATTTTCCTTGCTTTTATTTATCCTTAATCGTGCAATCCCCCCCCTTTTTTATGCCCAACGCCTGGCTAAGGGGGACCTTTTCGGGGGGGACTCCTTGGGTCGGAAAATAAAAAAAATAACCCCCCCCCCCCCCCCCCCGGGGCTTTTGGCAGTCGTAATAGGTTATGCTTTGGTAAGCACCCGCGCGGAGAAAGAAATTACTTTTTGACTAACAGCGTTTATTTTCCGAACTTTAATTCCTAAACGCCATTAAACATTTGAAGGATCTTAGGACAAAAGACGGACTGTATGCATAGCATGTTTTCTTCAATCGCAGTCTAATGCTGTTCAAGGCTCCAAGAAAGTGGAGAAAGCGAATCGAGAAAAGTTTTGCGAAAACCGCGTGGGGAGCTTGGGAGAGACGGGTAATGGAGCCTGTAAGCATTTTTTTCAATACATCATTTCGGTATACCAACTCCTGGTATACCCTGTGATTGGTCAACTTTGACAGCTTACGTCATCCATGTCAATAGGGACGTAACGATCTAACGACGCGACCGCAACGAGAACGTAGAAAAAGCAAAAACCAAAAACTTCAAGTCATTAACACGCAAAACAACAACTTAGGAAGTGCATCACTTTTTTTGGCACATCACCTTTGCCGTTTTTGCACAAGCAGAGTAGGATAGGAAAATGCCTAATATCATGATTTAAGGAGAACGTAAATATGCAACGACGAAATTTTATTTCTCTTTCTGAACTCAGATAGGGTCGCTTGAAATTCAACTTCAGGAGAGTTCGCCTGCATTTGACAAAGTAAGTGGGTCGGAAAATTGTGATTAATACTGAAAAAAACGCAAAATCAGATTTCAGGGACTCTCCTAGTCCGAGGCATCATTTGATCTTAAAGTCCCTAATCGGTTAGCTTCACACACGCAGAGGCAAAGAACAAACATAGCGAACGTGTGAAACCCTCCTACACGGCGCATTGAAGTATTTAAAAAGATGATTACAGGCTCTCCCGTTTTCTCCCCCTACCCCCCCCCCACCCATTTTTGGTGGCTTTTCCACTGCTCGCCCGCCTTTTTCGCTCGTCTGCACTGATCGAGAGCCTTGTACAGGCTACAGGGGACAGTCTAATTAAGCAGCTCTATTGTTAAAGTTAAAGTATCCAAAATCCCTCACTGCTTTTTGTGTTTATCATCAGATTATCAGTTATCGTATTGTATTTCTTACTCAAATTTAAACAGTCAAAGAGTTTTTTTTACTTTGCGACAAACACTGGCTTGATCTTCTCTCCGAATAAAAACCATAAATATAATTTGCCTGCAATAATTTCGCCCGTGAATACCCTGATCTCCGTTATACTTTCCCGCGTGATAAATTACGTTGTTGTTTTTTTTTTCTTAGCTCTAAAAAGGTACAAGACTGTTCTCCCCTCCGTTACCAGATGGCCTCTAAAGTTTATTCGGAGGAGCACATTAACTATTTCCGGGGTTTGTCACATAGCCACTGACATATTGCCCCCAGCTTTACGACTACTGTTCAAGCAAGAATGGGATAATCGTTACAAGGCAACGTTTGGAGAATGGAAAGACACGCCTCAAAATGGATTGGACTTTAAAAACGGTGAGTCCCCTGCTAATCAAAGAAAAAATGCCCGACTGTTGGCTACGATGGCTAATGGAGACAGAGCAGAATGGGACTGTACCATGTTATTTTATGCCATCCTGTTCTCTGATTCTATTCATGGACTAAGTCCACTGATTAGAACCAACGTTGATGATCTTAGAAAGTTTCGAAATGAAGACTTCGCTCATCACATGCCAGAGGGTCAGCTCTCAAATCTAGACTTCAGCATCACTGTTGCAAAAGTTGAGACAGCATTTAGAGCCCTTGGCCTGTCTACTGATGACATCCAAACTGTAAGTAAGCAGAAATGTTTTCCAACCCATGAGTTGCAAAATGTGAAGACAAGCAATCAGAAACTTACTCAAGACCTTCAGACGAAAGATGCGGAACTTCAAGACAAATCTATTGAATTAAAGAAGAAAACAACAGAGCTTTTGCAGAAAGATGTTGAACTTCAGAAAAAAAAAGACGAGTTACAAGAAAGGCATACCAAAATTCAAGAGAAGGAAGCAGAACTTCAAGAGAACAAAGACAGGTTAAAAACTACAGAAGAAAAGCGCAAGGTCTTTGAAGAGCAACTTCAGCGCGAGGTGGAGCCATTTTGCGTCCTTCCACCCAGACCTTCTCATGTGATCGCAAGTCGCGACTCCGACGTTGCTAAAGTGTTACAGAAGCTCACTAACTTAAGGAAGGCTAACGTGAACAGTTTAAGTTTTTGTTATATTTCAGGCAATCCCGGGAGTGGTAAATCCCAGCTGGCTGGACTGGTTGCTGAGAATTTCTACAAAGAAGCCCGAAAAGACACGAGTGCTCCTTCATTTGTTATGACTTTAAATGCTGAAAACTTAGAATCGCTTTTAGAATCATACTTTTCCCTGGCAAGAAAAGTAAGCTGTCCCGCGTACACTATAACTTCCACTGAAAACTCCAAGGATTTAAATGCTGAACGGAAAATAGCCATTATCAAAGATTTAATTGCGACAAAAATTCACCTTTACTCATCTTGGCTCTTGGTGATTGATAGTGTCACAAATCTCGCGAGAATGGCTCAGTTTCTTCCTGAACGTGGGAATGAGCAGTGGGGCAAAGGCCAGCTGCTTATCACAACGCAGGATTGTTCCTGTATCCCACCTGAAAGTCCAATCACATCTCACCTTTCTATAAGCAAAGGCATGATTTACACTGACGTTGCCAACCTTCTATTCGAGCTCACTGGAATCACAGACGATGGTATGGGAAAAAAGGTAGCACACGCTTTGGATTACCAGCCACTTGCACTAGCCAGCGCAGGAGTGTACGTGAGAAAGGTACGAAATACCAATCCAGACTTTGGCTGGGAGGAGTACTTACAAAAACTAAAAGAAGGAAAGCGTGAACATACTCAAAAAGAACTTACCAAAGTAAACAATATCTACCCAAACTCTATGACAGAAGCGACTAAGATAGCCGTTAAAGCGGAAATTGATTCTAATAAAATAATGAAGCATGCTTTTACCTTTCTTGCTCTTTGTGCACCAGAGCCAGTGAGGCTACACTTCTTGACCACTTACGTTGTAAATGCTGATGGAGAGTTGGATGAAGAGGAAATAGGCATTCAGATCCAAGGTTCCTCCTTGCTGTTAATCGACAAAGAGGATGATGTCAACATTCGTTTGCATAACGTAGTACACAATATTGTCAAGAGTTTAGTAAAAGAACAAATGCAAGCTGATGAACATGTCCGAGTTGTTTGTGTTGCGGTGGAGTCATTTAGTAAGTATATAAAGGAAGCAACACCAAAGATCCTGCAAAGTGCAGATTCTGTGTCTGAAAGTAGAAGTATTGTTCCACACTTCAAAACTCTAGCTGTCGAAATTAAAAATGTTTTCTTTAGTACAGAGAAATTTATCAAAACCACTTTTGAAGATTTATGTGTAACTGTGCATGACTTTATTGTGCTTGGTAATGTTTGCCATCGCCATAGTGAGTACCTAACAGCAAAGGACTACTACCATGTAGCTTTAAAATTCAACAAGCACAAAAACAACAAGACAGTTCCTGATCACTCAGAAGAGGCGGGAATTATCCAAAACATGGGTAACCTACATCGGAACTTGGGTGAGCATCAACAGGCCAAGGAGTATTATGAACGTGCCTTGTCCATACAATTGAATAAGCTTGGACCCGACCATGTTGCCGTCGCGAGGACGTACCATAACATGGGTACCCTACATCACTACTTGGATGAGCATCAACAGGCCAAGGAGTATTATGAACGTGCCTTGTCCATACAATTGAATAAGCTTGGACCCAACCATGTTCACGTCGCGAGTACGTACCATAACATGGGTACCCTACATTACTACCTGGGTGAGCATCAACAGGCCAAGGATTATTATGAACGTGCCTTGTCCATTAAATTGAATAAGCTTGGACCCGACCATGTTGACGTCGCGAGTACGTACCATGACATGGGTAACCTACATCACGACTTGGGTGACCATCAACAGGCCAAGGAGTTTTATGAACGTGCCTTGTCCATACAATTGAATAAGCTTGGACCCGACCATGTTGACGTCGCGAGGACGTACCATTTATTAGGTGATATGCAGCGTGTTTTGGATGCCCAGCAG